ATTGACGAGATTCGTATTTTCGAAAAACCGGTTTAAAATTATCGTCGTGTTTCAACGGGGTACATTACACAACAATCGTTAACAATATATAGAGAAAGGTTCGATCATGTATTTTACAATGCTTCATTTGTCGAGCTAGCCACCAATTTCTCTAGCGTTAGTAAATTGAAGTCGGTTCAGGAGGACTCACTTCATAAGTTTATCAAGCGTTGCTTTCTCTGTTTTGCCAACTGGATATAGAAAATGCGGTTTGACAGGAAGTGAACTATAAAGTGAGGAGATAAATAATAAAGCGAGGCTGCTCGTTGAAAATATATCTCGTGCGGCCAGGTGTTCCTTCGCTTCGCTCCTTGAAAACAACAAAGAGAAAAGGGTGTACGCGTATCCAAGAGTTAAAAACAAGAAACAGTTCAGACAGTAATAAACATATTTGATTGGCTTAGACTTACGTCATAGCTCGCATACAACGATTCTATTGGTTGAAAATGACCTGGGTGTTACCTAAAGGGCACAGCCCCAAACCAACCAGACTGTGAACTATTAACATTCAAGACTGAGGTTGTCGAATAAACTACAGACAATTTTGGAGAACTTAGAGAAATTGGTGTCGCTATAAGATTCAAGGCTAACTGAAAGCATAGTTAATGAGTAGAGTACTTGCTAAAGGTAAGGATTTAGAAGGTTCCAGAAAGTTATTGTAGTTTCATAGCGAGCGCTAGACTTTATTTTCGTTGTCTAGTTCTTGTATCAATGTGTTTCACTTTCGTTTTCGTGTAGGATARAGTCTAATTTCCCTCTTCTACCAATAAATAAGCATAAGTTCAAGTTCCAATAAACTAACTATGCCTGTACATGAACAAGTTATGGTGTATTAAGTCAAGTTTGTTTGTAGCAATTGTAAGATTCGAAGTCGTAGATATAGCTGACTGACTTGGCTTTGACTAGTTGGAAGCAGTATAACTAACGAATCATTCGCGCAGTGGTATCGGACATGGAGTAAATCTAGTCTACAAGTTTCATGTTTAACAGTTTCTTTTATAAATGACTGATGCATTTTTGTTGGTCTGATACAGAAAATAAACTGAACTTCGAAGCGACGGACGATCATTAACGCGGAAGTGAAGTTTATCACGGAATAAATCGTGGGATTGAAACATTAAGGTAAACTACATAAAAAACAAGTCGAAATTCTAAAGGACATGTAAGATTAAGATAGTTTTAAACCTCCAATTTAATTTGATTTGACGAGATTCGTATTATCTAGGTATTGAAAGTGGAGAACATTTGAAGCGTTCTTGCTAACGTAGGAATCACACAGAAGTACCAGAACGAACACCGCTACACAGGTAGGGATATTTTAACTGCAAGTGAACTATTGAAATCATATTTACTGAAAGTGCGGTCGCATAACGATGGAATTTATGTTGAAATTAAGAAATTTGAGCGCTAATAAACTGTTTGGTGTGGCTTCGCCTGTAAACGAAGACTATTCCTTTTGATCCCTTTGTATGACGTCACTTCATTGATTGACGGCTCTCCGTCAATGTCAAAGACTGTTAGACGTGTGTAGACCGTGACAAGCTGCTGTGCATAATATATATAGCCCCAACGAAGAACAAAAACATTAGGTGCGACTATAGCTGATCTCTGTAAAGTATATTCTAGTAACGATTAACTTATTGAAGATTTACTTAGGATAATGCTGATAGGATAATGAAATAAGAATTATTTAGATTCCAAGCAGTTTAGATGGGTTGATAGCTGGGTGTTGTTTTATTGATATTGAACAGATTTGATCGCTTAATTTATTTTTTTTTTTTTTTCTGTCTGATAAATCTTATGTTTTATTGTCCTATAGCTA